CAGTGCTGAGGGAAGTTGTGACCCTTCTCCTTCTGCACCCAAAAATAGGGTCTGGCAGGGCACCTGGATACATTAGCCAGCTGACTGGAAGTGGAAGCTGCTCAAAACAGTCAGCAGCCATGTTTGGTGGGGTTGGCTGAGTCAGAGTGGGTTGCTGGGGTAATTTCCTTGGGGCAGAAGGAGGCTCTGGGCTGCTGAGGAGGGTGCCAAGCTCCCTTCACACTGATGTCTCCTGAAACAGTTCTCAGACCTGGATGGAGGATGGTCTGGGGCTGGAAGATGCTCTGCAGCAGAGGTGTCTGTCAGGATGGTGCTCAGCCAGCAGAGTCCACTATTTCCCAAAATCCATAGCAAATCTCTTTCCACACTAGCAGGAGGCTCAGCAACAGATTTCAGCAGCCTAAAAGCAACTTTCCCATGGAAAATTTTGCCTGACAGGGAGGAGGGCAGGGCCAGGGACCTCAGCCATGGTGCTTGCAGAGGCTCTCTTGGGAGCTAGTGGTTGGGGACTGCAACTATTTGCAAATAAACCTGGAAAACCCGGAAAACCTGGACAGTCCTTGGTGCACATCCCTCTGGATGAGGGTGCCAACTGGGAGGATGTACTCAGTTGTGGGTGAGCACATGAATTCCTCGTTGTGGGATTAATCCATCCCTGCTCTGTGCAGGTGCCAATTCCAGCAGGCTGTGTGATCACACACCTCTGCTGCCTTCAGTATAGCCTGGGGGCTCCTCAAGGATTCTTTTCTCCATGGCTGAACACATGAGCTCTCCCATGGAATCACTTGTGCCTCTGATCTTTAGTTTTCCACCAAACTGGGAAAATATGTCCCTTTGTAATTTTCATGAGGGTGGCAGAGCTGCCTGTCTCCCACCACCATGTGTGTCTGAGAGCCATTTAGCTGTGACTGTGGTGACAAATGTCAGCACAAGGCTTGTGATGTAAAGAGCAGTGAAGGAGGGGGCATTGGAATTAAAGGATGAAATATTTATTTGGGAGTTTATTAGTGTTTGAAGGACAACACATCACAGATGAGAGGCATCTTGAGGCTGACAGTGCTGAAAACCACAACGGAACCTACTGGGCTGTAAAACTGCCACAAGATTTCCTCTCCCTCCTGACTTCACATCCTTTCCAGAGTCCTTATCTGCCTGGGAAGGTACAGCAGGGATCAACATCCAGGAATGGCCCAAAGCTGTGGACCACCAGACAGATATGTGTTGTCTGAGGAAGGGGAATGACAGCCCCACTTTGCTTTTAGTACCAGCCACAAACCCTCCAACTGACGTGCCATAGAACTGGGGTGTCCTGGCATTGGCAGTGGGGATATTTGTACAGGGCAGCCTGCTTGGAAGGTGGAATGAAGGCACAGAACTGCCACAGCAAATCAGGATCATGAGCTTCCCTCTGCCTCCATTCAGACTCTGGAGGACAGGTTTTCTCCATTGCTGGCCCTTGGTTTGCTGGGGATGTATCTCAGGGCACCCAAACTTTGATCCCAGGTGGTGGGGCTGAGGGTGGGACTCCAGGGCTGGTAAAAACCTCCGTAGTGGGTTTAATGTATCAACCAAATAAAGAACCTAAATAAAAATCCATCTCAGTGTGATGGAGAAGCTTCTGTGTGTCATTCCACTGGGATATCCCATAGCTTGTGTGAGGTGCCTCTGCCCAGGGAGGCAAAGATTTAGTTTCAGATAAGCATTGTTAAAGTGAGAAGCGTGGCTTTAAAGCCCAGGAAGAGTAAATTCCATTCCTCTGCCTCAGAGAAGAGTTGCCCCACGCCAGACCCCTCGTGGGGTGGCAGCCCAGGGTGTTCTGATTGGGTTTGAGCCCCTGGGGTTTCTCCCTTGCTATGTCCCTATTAGATCCTGACCTTAAACTCCACCCTGACTCTGCCCCATAAAACCCACCACCCTGCCTCTGTTCTGGATTCTCTGTCTCTGATTTAAGTTGAATAAGTGGTTTCCTGAGCTTAACCAAGCAGAGACCCATCTTGTTGAATTCTCATGCCAATCACCAGTAACTGTAGCCTCCCTGGACATGATCCTGCAGCCCTGGAACGCAACAAGCTTGGGTATCCCGTAGCATGGATATCCCACTGTGGATCCCATCTTTGGAGTCCTGTTTTGCTTTTCCCAGCCCTGAAAGGTACCATGATAATAAAGGGTTAACACAGAACAAAAAGGCTTCAGCCTTGTCAGAAACACAGTCATCAATCTCAGAGTTACTTGATAACTTTAAATACAATCATGTAATCAGCAGGAACCTCTAATTATTATTTATGTGCATGGTGCTTACTAAATTACAGTGCTCTCCAAGGTTCTGTATGATGAACAAATTAATTTTGCATCAGAAGAGCTTGACCAGAAATCTGTTTGTCTGAATTTCATTTATAAACATTGATATATGAAATGAAAGTTGAGTTTAATTGACCCTCCTTCCTGCTGTGAAACACATTACATTTTTATTCTGTATTAGCTCACCTGGCAAGGGGGAAAACCTGGAGGACATTTTCCAGCTTTGATGATACTTGTCTGGAAAACCTGTGTGGGATTCTCTTGGATGAGATGGTGTGGATACCTTTGTGGGGAGCCACCTCCATGCTCTGGGCACATGGATTTGGGGTAAAAGGAGACAAAAAAGTGTGGACCAGTGGGATGCTGAGTCCACTGCAATGTGAGGATACTCCCATGGAAACTGGGGATGGGACATGCCAGGGTTGTCTTTTCCAAAAGATAAACATGCCCCAGAAGTCTTTGTAAGAGGAATTGAAGTATTTTTAATCAAACAAGACTGAGAATACACACTCCAGCTATGGAAAGCAAAGTCACATCAGTTGGAGCAGACCACCAGGAGGAGAAGGGAAAAACAGAGATGTGAACACAGATGCTTCTGTTTGGGTTTCTTTCTTTGGTTTTTCAATTTCCAGCTTCTTTCCACCAAAATACCCTACTTTAGAAAAATCCAAATTTATCATGTAGCACATCATTTTTTGGCAACATCACTTGCAGGGATGATGAAAAAAAGTATCTCTGGGGCATTTTCCCTTCTCCATTGCCAGCAGATCTTTATTAGCTCCTGCCAAAGTACCCAACAGAGAAACCAAGACACAGAAGACACAAGTCTACTCCTTGTTGGGCACCAGCAGAAAGTGTCCATAGAGCTGGGAATTGCCACTTCTCCCATTACATAACTCCAGGGGTCTTTTTCACACCCGTATTTTGAAGAAGGGGCAGTTTTTGGGACCACTGGCAGTGGCTGAACTTGAACAAAGACAGAAACATGCCCCATGTGCAGGTTATGGTCCTTGTTGTGGTCACTGTGTCATACTGGGGACTGTTGCTGTTCCCAACAGGCTATTGGGGTCAATGGGATATTTCTAGTTTCGCTGCACTGTAGACATGCAGGTAGAAAATCAAAATGGGAGGGAAGTGGGAGGAATTTGCTCCAAACTACTGAATCTCACAAATGTTTGAAGAACCCAGAGGTTTTTCCATATGCTTTCCTTTAAATTAAAAAAAAAAAAAATGCAAGATTTTATTCCTTTCTGGTGATATATTCTGAGGAAATCACAGAATACTGCAATTTCAAAGATGCTTATATGTCCCCAGGGCAGGAAACCTTTATGCCTGTTCTTTATAGAGGGAAAACTGAGGCACAGAAGTGTGAAGGGGCTCACACCAGATCCTGTAAGGCCCCAGTGGCAAAATCCCTGTGATGCAGAGGGCAGACAGCCCATAAACGTGCTGTAATCTGTCCCCTGCCTGGGCATCCCCAGACCTTGTATGGGACAAGGAAAGGGTGGCTCCAAAGAGGTGAAGGCAAATCCCTCCACTTACAAGGACCTCTCTGCTCAGCTGCTTTTGGTAACCACATGGAAGAGGGCAATGGGAGAGGGGGAACTGGGGACAATCTGGAGTCCCCAGAATGGGGAGAGAGATAGGAAGGGAGGGAAGGAGGCTGCTGCTCCTCCAAGGCACTTAACCCTAGTGTGGGGATGGTTTGGTCCCATCCCCTGCACAAGAGCAAGAAGCAGCTTTGTCACTGGGCCCACCTGCCCAGGTAAAAGCAGGGCAGGGAGGAGGGAGCACAGCCAGGGTCTTTCCCTGTGGTAGCTGCCTTTGGGGACCTCAGCCACTGCTCCACTGCAGGGCTCCCTCACCTTTCCACCCTCTGAGCACAGACATGGAGTCACCCTGAGGTCCAGGTCTTTGCAGAGACCTGTGGATCCATCTGGGATGGACCAGAGGATTAAACTGATTCCTGTGTTTCCCTCTAGATCAAGCCCACTCTGTGTGGCTGTTCAGAGCCCCTGGGACCCATCCCTGTGGGAGGGGAATTCCCTCCCCTCTCCCATCCCATTGCTTTATCCCACCTTAGGTGTCAAGATGAGAAATGACCTGGTCAGACCAAGCAGCAGTTACAGGACATCTGGAGACCCAGCAAGAGACAGGGGAAGGACTCAACCCCAGTGCTACAAAAATCCAGCCACATGAAGCAATTTCTATAATCACTTCAGGGCTCCCCATCCATCCCCTTCCAACACACAGGACTTTGGCTCCTCTAGAGAGTTCCCTCCCCACCAGCAGCATTCCATCATGTGCTCACTGGAAGGCTGACCCAGCTTCCCAGGGAACTAGCCCCATAATCTGTCCCAGCAATGTCCTGGTGTCCTGTCACCTGAAAGCAGACAAACCCGATAAAGGCAGTGACATGAGACATTGTGCCTAGGATGGAGCTGGCAGAAAGCTACTGCAACATCTCCAGATCCTTCTGGCTTTTCATGGCTCTTTCTACCATGCCAGCAGGTCACACAGCTGCCAGGGAGATGACAAAGCAGCATCTCAGCTGTCCTGTCCTCTAGGCCTTCCCAGCATATAGGGCAGAAGCTGTGCAGGTGTCCCGTGACCGAGTGAGTTCACGGTCTCCTTGCGGGGCTGGGACCACGGGCAGGTCCTATGCTGGTCCCCACAGTGGGGACATCGGCTCCCAGTGCAACCTCTCGCTCCCAGCTCAGACAGCCGTGGATTGCTTGATGCTGTGGAAGCTGACACGGGTTGGGGAGGTGGGGATGGACATGGCCCTCGCTACGCGGGCACGGATGGAATGCTTGTCCTGCCACCGGTGCCACCGCTTCCGTACAGCTGATCGCACCTGGGCAAGATGAATGAGGGACATTTGGTCATCACACAAAGATTTTTCAGAGGCACCAGCCATCCTTCTCCTCAGTCTTCCAGTCAAAAATGGATTAATAGTATGTGATTTGGTAACAAAACAGGTTCATGTGGGGTAAACTTTCCTGAGCTAGCAAAGATATTGGGAGCATTTGGAGGAGGCAGAGGAAAGAGCTGCCCAAATATTTGGCCCCAGGATTCACTTCTACTCTCAGCTCCTGTGCTTTCTGCTGTTTGTGTCTTGGGTCAGACCCTGGGAGATGTCCTCATCCATACACAATCCACATGTGTATGGGGCTCCACCTGGGGAAGGATTTCCCTGGGATGGGGAGGACCCTTGGCTCTGCTGCACACAGGTGCACCCTGAGACCATTTGTTCTTGGGAGTGAATTTTCCTTCTCCAGAGGAGGAGACAGACAGCAGCCATTCCTGTCTGGGCAAAATCTGGGGCTGCAGATGTAACTGGGGCTGGAGTGAAGCACTAACTCTGGTCACCAAAGACCTTCAGGAATTAGGGACCAGCACTCCCCAAGCCCTGTGCACCAGCAGAGCCTCATACTGAACTTGTCTGCTTGCAAGGAAGGGTCCAGACCCCCACAAAAAACTCCAGCCCCTTGTGCTCACCTCGCTGTTCAGGAAGCAGTAGAAGACAGAGACGAAGAAGCCCTGGAAGGAGACAAGTACAACCAACAGGTACTCCCAAGTCAAGAGCTTTGGAACAGCTCTGGGGTTTGGGGATGTCTGGTTTTGGGAGGGGGCAGAAGCAGGATGAGGCATCAGCCAGGATCGGCTTCTCCACATCCCTTGGTGAGGGGACTGGGATGGAAGCCAGTGTGGAGGACCATTACCTGGAAAGATTCCAGAAGGGAGTTGAAGTAGATGAAGACTATCCTGGAGATCTCATCCTCCCCTGGGTTGACAAAGAACAGCATGTAGGTGATCCCCAGCAAGGGCAGCAGCACCAGTGTGGCCTTGACTGCTTTCCTAGGGGGAAAACAGGGACCTGAACTGCTACAGCACAGTCCTGGGCACAAGGACTCTGCCCATCCCACTCCCAGCACCAGCATGGCTTGGACTTGTCTGCTGGGACTTGAAAACCAGTGACCGTGGAAGGATGGAGGCAAGTTGGGCTGTTTTCCAGGGCAATTCCCAAGAGACTGGGCTGGTTTGAGCCCTTCTCTGTTTCTCCGCCCAGAAGAGGGCAGCAGAGAGCAGAGGACTGACCTTGAGCTGGCATAGAACGATCGCTTGGCTGATCTACAGCTCAATTAAAGAGAAATTAAGGAGGGTATAATAATTCACACCCTTCAACATGAGTTTGTGAAAACCTTATCTCAGGTAATTAATTTGAAATCTTGATGAGATTACAAGTGCAGTTTTTGAAAAGTCATAGTGCTGATACAGAGTGTGGGAAGGATTTGGACTTGGCACATCATTCCTTTGGATCAGGGGAAAAGAACAATGCCAAGTCATTCACTTTTTGCTTAAAGATCCTGTTAATCGACAGATTCCATTCCAGATGGTCATCCCTGGAAGGTCTGAGCTGGGCAGGGAGGGGGTCTAGGACCTGTTTTGCATCCCTGACATTTGTGTCCCTGACACAAATGGGCTGATGACATGGAGGATCTGGAGGGACCCAAGGACAGGAGCTGGAAAACTACAGTATGGCACATTCACTGGTGTAGCTTCTCCAGAGGAGCAGCCACGACAGCAGGGGACACATCGACATTTTATCACCTAAGGTGAGCAGGAGCCCTGCAGGGCTGTCCCTTGCCTGGTTTAAGCAGAACTGCACAGTTCATAACATACCAAGTTCTCCAAGTTTTCCTGTCTCAGAGAGTATTTCTGGGAAATGAAAATGTTCTGCCCAAAGCTGATAAACCCTCACAAAATGAGGCAAATACTGGAAAACGAAAAGTCTCTCAAAATTGTTGACTGGGGCCAACCAGCCTTTTCCCAGAATCTTTATTTTTGCTTACCCCAAGATGAACCCCTCATTCCAGTTCAATATTCTGTGATGAGGAAAGCTGGCATTTTCCAATAATAGAACCATATTTTTTCCATTCTCAGCTGCAAAGCCATCCTTCACCTCAAAACAGCTTCTCTTGACCCAGCACACAGAAAGATTCCCCAATTCCTGCCCACAAAATGATCCAGACAGAGGCAATGATGAATACTTCTATTCCAGGTACTTTGGGGAGCTGCTCTGACCATGCACCTCTTATGTTATCTGCAAAATATTCCCCAACAGGCAAAGAAGGGTTAATTCTTCCTGCCTTGCACTGTGGGAGTCCTGTCTTCTTCTTTACAAGGAGGTGTTGGAGTGGCATTGATTCATGACTCCTTCCTCAGCTTTTTTTTTGTCAAGCAGTAATTTAATTCTCACCTCCATGCTAGGATTTGCAGCTCCCAGCCTGGAGAGCTCATCAGGTCCTACCAGTACAGACTTTTGCAAAGAGACTCAAATCCCAAGGATTCACTTCAAAGGCAGAAACAGCCATCCACACTCTACATCACAAGGCTCTCCCTGGTCAGATTTAATGACCATGTGCCTCCAAAGAGCATTTGAGGTGCTCTCAGGTGTCTCTCCATGTTCCCATCTCCTTGCTACCTGGCTTATGGGACTGTTTCCATCCCCACTAATCATGAGAGAATCCAGTTCCTAGGCTGGCTTCCTGCAGGGTCACTCATGCTCTTACGAGTTAAGAAAATTAGGAAATTAAGATTTTAACTAGAATAGGAGCAGTTTATGAGAAAATTCAAAGTAAAAGAAATGAAAAAGCTTTTAAGGTAGAAGCAATGTAGGAGTAAGAGTGCTTAGTTAAAGGAAAGCCTATACAGGTCCTTCTTGTAAAGGGAATACAATGTAGCTAACAATTGCCAAGATTAAATGAATAGTACAAGGATATATATCATTCTGCTTGTCTTAAGTTGTATTTGTAGAAGGAGACAAGGAGGAGAAAGAAAGTGTGAGAAAGAAAGAACTGTGTCTACACCTGCAAGCAAGAGATCTGAACTATGTCTAGGAGAAGCAGGAGCGCTGCCAACAAGACACAGTTGAAAAGTTTAAGCCTGAGGAAAAGAAAGATTTCATTAAAAGACCCCAGACCCATTTCAAAAAAGGACTGAGCATGCCCAGAGGGGCGTGGAGCTCATTACTATATGAGATGTGAGCAGGCAGAGTCAGGCAATGAATATGTGTAGGTGTACTTTGTAATCCTATGCATATATAATTCTTTGGGGAATAAATAGAGAATAAGGGGCAGAGGGGGACACGCATGACTTTGGGAGAGGACTGTGGTGTTTGGCTGTAATAAACATATCCTCCCCAACTTGAAATATTTAGAGAGTCCTTTGTCTGTAATTTTATTGCTTCACTTACCTGTACTGGATCGTTTCTGATGTGGTTGAAGCTCGGAGCTTCGTCATGAGGATCCGAACAATGTTGAATAGAAAGATGAAGTTGATCTAGGAGGAACAGGGTCACTGGTTAGTGTCTGCTCCCCCAGTATTTCCTCCCATTTCCACTGCAATGTTGAGGGGGAAGATGGGGGAGCCAGGGGAAATGGGAATGTTTCCTCTTGAACCTGATTTACTGCCTTTCAGGAACCATGAGAGGTTGTCTGCCTTTTTTAAAAGCACCTGAACAATAAGATTTAGGAGTTTAGTCAAGGGATCAGGGCAGCAGGGCATGCCAGGAGATTGTCAAGGAAGAACAAAGCCTAGAGAAAGGGTTGAAGGTGAAAAAGTAGAGGGAGAGGAAGAATTGAAGGTGGAGAGTGGCTGCCATCACAGCCAGGATCTGCCTGGCTGCTCTCCTGGCTGCCAAATTGCTAACAAGGGAATGGGAAGGTGTCTTTGGAGCTGAGCAAAATTGACAGGAATTAGTAGTGGCCTGACTGCCTGACGGGCTGGGAGATGGGAAGCTGGATCAATTATTCCATCATTCCAGTGATTTTTACTCCCTTGAGTTTTCTCAGCATTAGGCAAGGAGAAAGGAACAGTTTTGGGACTTTGTTCATGGCTTTCCTCCTGCAAACACAGGTTGGGCCCCCAGCTTGTGACCTGCTACCTCTGTTCTTCTTTGTCCCTCCCCAAAAGACAAAGCCCCATCCATGTGACCCTTGGATCAAGCATTGCTGCTCAACTGGGGACCAGGAATCAGAGAGGTGGAATCAGGATCATGGAATGGAGTCAAGGATCTCAGGCTTCTGCAAATGCTTGGCAAAGCATCCACCCACACCCAAACAATGCCAGGGCAGGGATGGAGGAACCTACTGATGCATGTTGGAATCTGCTGATGGGACATCCCTGTCAGAATGAGGTTCCAAGCTCCTTCTGCAGCCCACCCCAAGCCCAAAATTGCTTAAGAGGCAGTTTGGGTGAGAAGCAGTGCTGCTGTGGGGCAGAAGAACCAGCCCAAGCAGAGTGAAGAAGGGGGCAGTACCCTGTTCAGAAGCAGCTGTGTCCCACCTGCACACAGAAGGAGTCTGTATTTAGCACACAAGGTCACTTTGCTCTTACCAGAAGCACCAGGATCATGGGGCCTTGGTAAATGTAGTCAGTATAAACACCTGCTCGCTTCCCAAACCAGCACCTGCAAGGCAAGGACAAGTGGTGTCAAGGACAAGCCTGACATAGGAGTGACCTGGATAGACTCCTGTCCTTGCAGTCTCTGTAAGTCACTGTCTGTGAGGTGAAAGCACTAAAACTCAAACTGCTGCAGCCATTGTGAAGTAGCTTCCCTGGGAACTCAGGAGGTGCATGTAGGTTTGTGGGAGTGTTAATGGGCCCCATATGCATGTGGGAGCTAGTTATTGCAGGACAAGCAGGGACACCCGCCTCACAAAGGAAGTGACTGTTCCCACTGTTCTGCAGGGGGGCAGCCTCACCTCACATCCTGGGGGAAATTTTGGACACAAAAATATAAGAAAGATCTGAAGTCATTAGGAAGCATACAAAGGAGGGATATGAAGACCGGGAGCAGTCTGGAGGGGCCACATAAGAAGCAGCTGAGGGCACTTGGAATGGTGAGCTGGGGTAGAGGAGACTGAGTTTTAACTTCACCAGGGGCTGCAGCTCCTCCCCAGGGGCAACCCCCATCTCTGCTCCCTGTGACCAGGGACAGGACCCAAGGAAATTGCCTGAGGTTGTGTCACAGGGGATTTTGGGATGGATATCAGGAGAAGGTTCTTCCCCCAGAGGGTGCTTGGGCACTGCCCAGGTTCCCCAGGGAATGATTACAGCCCCAAGGCTGCCAGAGCTCCAGGAGCTTCTGGGCCATGCTCTCAGGGATGCCCAGGGTGGGACTGTTGGGCTGTCTGTGCAGGGCCAGGAGTCAGAGCCAATGATCCTTGTAGGTTCCTTCCAGCTCAGGATATTCCATGATTCTGCATAATCTCACACACACAGGTCTGGGTCAGCTCTGTCCTCAGCAAATTCTGTGGGAGCTCACTCCAGTGTATCCCTGTCCTGGGAGCACCTTGTCAGGGCTGTTCAGTCAGTGCCTGTGTGAGTAGCATGGGGCTTCTGAAGTCAGCAGGGAAAACTACCTCTGGAAAACAGATCAAGCTGACATTCATCTCAACAGGCTCCTTTCAACTTCCCACTCTGGGATGAACTCTCAGGTGCCTATGAAAATGGCTCAGGTGGGGGTAATTTGGATCTCTGCTGGTTAAATCCCAGCTCCCTTTAGCAAACCTATTTCAGGAGATCTGGTTTAATCTCTTTTTCCCCTTAAAAATCACATTTGTCTTTTGAAGAGAAACCAAGCAGGGGCAGGGCTTATGCTGCAGAGAGCTGAAAGGTGGGATAAAAGAAAGAATGGAAGAATATTTTCCTTTTTTTCCTTCCTGACAGAATTCCTGACACAGCTGATCCCTGAGGATTTGGGATACAAAGAAGAATGGAGGATGAGAGCAATAGGCTCACTTCTCGTTGTCGTAGTAGAGCTTCCCAATGGCCCAGGCAACGATGATGGGAAAGGGGATACCTGCAGGGGAACACACAGGTGAGTCTCAGAGGTGCAAGATCACCACAAAACCACACTGTAACAGGGGTTCTGTCACACACAAACCACCCAGTGAGATGACATATCCATGCAAATCCCATCCTCCTGTTCTTGGCAACCTTTTTACAGCTATTTGTGTGCAAGAAGAACTGGAGCAGGGGATGGAGGGGGCATCACCCATCACTAAACTCTGGGTACCGCTGTGTGAGGGGAAGCCTGGCACTCACACCAGCCGATGCAGATGAACATCCACTTGCGGAGCTTGTCCGTGGAGTAGGTGAGCACGATGGCCGTGTGCAGGTAGCAACCCTCGCCGAACATCCAGAAAAAGTTGGTGACATGGAAGTAATTGTAGGCAGCAGTGACCAAGCGGCACCAAACCTGCCAGGAGATGTGGAGCCTGTTGAGCTCCGTGTCACAGTGGTGCAAACAATGCACGGAGCAGCATGGACCCCACCATCATTTGAGCAAACAAACCCATGTTTCTCATACACATGGGGTGCCTGCCAGCCACCAGCCAGCACTATTTGTCCCCTGAAGTTGCTTTTCTAGCCACATCTTAGTGACTTCAAACTGAAAGAGAGTAGCTTTAGGGAAGAAATTCTTCCCAGGGAAGGTGGTGAGGCCTTGGCAGAGGTTGCCCAGAGAAGCTATGGCTGCTCCAACCCTGGAAGTGTCCAAGGCCAGGTTGGATGGGGCTTGGAGCAACCTGGGATAGTGAAGGTGTCCATGGCCAAGGGGTTGGAACTAAATGATCCTTAAGGTCCCTTCAGACCCAAACCTCGTTGTGGTTCTGTGATCTCCAGGGTCCTCACACCCCCCAACTGCTCAGGACTGGGCTCAGCCTGGCAGAGCTGCACCTACCACATTGCTTTCGTGCACCTCTGGGTTCATGGTGAGCTGCACCACGAACCATGTGGCATTGCGTAGGATGAAGGCTGTGATCAGGTTCCAGTGGATGATGTTTCTCAGGCACCGTATGCTCCTGGAGAAGAGTGGAACAAGGCCCAATCAGAGCAGGGGGACTGGGGATAGTGCTGTTTGTGGAGCTGAGTGTCTCTGTTGGGACCCCAAGGATGATCTGCTGGGACCATGCCTTGGGTGAAGTGGGCAGGAAGAATACCAGGAGGCGGAAGGCACAAAGGAGGACTCTGCCTCCATAACCAGGTGCTTTAAAAAAGCAGCAGAAGAAAAACAGCCCTGAGATAGGCAGCATCCCTGCAGCCTGGAAGGCAGTGGCTGTGAGGGAGGAGATGGCAAAGCACAGGAGCTGGGTCCATCTCTGCTGAGATGACCTCACAGGAACATGGCACCAGGTTTGTCACTCACCGCAGGCGCATGAAGAGGACAAATGCCACGAGGAGGGCCCCCAGCGAAACACAGTGGCCCAGGTAGTTGATGATGACAGCAATGTGGTAGTGCAGCTTGCTCTTCTTCTGGAAGTGAGGGAGATGGACAGAGGGTCAGCAACAGCCCTGGTACTGGCACAAACCCACCTCTTCCACCACATCACCTTTGGCAGCTGCACCTCAAATTTTGGGCCCTTTTTCAGGAAGCAATTTGAGCCCACCCTGGGACAGGACAGAGGGAATGGAAGGAGATGGGGCTAATGTGGGAAGGAGAGGCACCAGCCTGGTTTCACATCCCACTTATACCAGAGCAGCTCACGAGACAGCGCAACACATCCTCTCGGGAAACCCTGCTGGAACTCAGCTGAGCTCACTGGAATTTTATATCTCAGTTCACCCCCATTGCCCTAGGGGAAGCTGAGAGGCTGGGATGAATTTGGGCAGAGGGAGAGTATGAGTGATAAATGAATTAATTGATGACTCCTTATGTTAGGTAGTCATCCAGTTGGTGAATTAGCAACTAAGTAAGTGAGAAAACCACTCCTGGCAAGAGATATCAACATCTTAAATACCAGAGTTGATATCAACTGCAAATGAAAAACTCGTATCTCTTCTCTGCTTCAAGGGGTGGCTTGACCTACTCAGGGGCTTGTAATTCTTGATCCTCATTTTTTATCTCTTTCAGCTTCCCAAATAACTCCTTTATTTCATTGCCAGCAGGGAAGGACAGGGTTTTCACTGAGGGCTGTGTCAGGAGGGAGCTGCAGGAGAGTGACAGGGCTGATCTGTACCCAGAGGCCCTGGGGACCTCACACTGCCAATCCTCTTGGATTTTTAAAGGAGATTGAAACAGGCATGGCTTTATTTCTGATGGGGAATAAAAATGCAAATCAAGAAGGGGTAATAATTGCCACATGTAACTTTATCATTGGGATGCTGTTGCATGCTCAGTCCTCAGCGCTGGGCCATTTGTTGCCTTTCAAAACTCCATCATCTGTCTCTTGCCCTCCTGCCAAGACCCCAGTGACTCCCAAGCTCCTACCTCTTCACTGAGGATCTCCTGGCACTGGGAGTAGTTGACACGTGCTGCCCAGCTCCCATTTGCGAGGCACTCCCTGTACCCGTTATCTGAAAGACAGGATGACCATCCAAGAGTTAACAGAGCATGGGGATAGGCACAGGCATGTGACCTGACTGTCACTAATGCAGGGCACTGGCATCAGGCCAGTGGCATCTTCTGCTTTGAAGGCAGCTTAACTACTGCCTTGGTCACAACTGCAGAACCAAAATCCTTGCAATATTTCAGACCTGCTCAAGAGCTTTGGGTCTGCACCACATCTGCCCTTGGCACAGGGGGACCCCAATGCCTCCTCACCATACACAAGGAAGCAGCAGAAGCAGCACCAGTTAGATTCTTCTTCCCTTTCACTCTGCTGTTTGCTTGGGTGATCATGTGCTAGCCCATGATCTCTGGTAGGATGGCAGCACAAAGTTTCACTTATCTCCCTCAATTAGGAGTTTTTTGCCTCCCAGCGAGGACAGTAGGTGGCAAAGCTAATTGGGAAGGAATGGTGCAGGCTCCCCAGAGAGTCTGGGACTGGTGTCACCAGTGGGGCGATGCCAGCACTGGGGTGAGACTGAGCTTCCATTAATGGGAGACTCTGAGCCTTGTCAGGGTAATGGGGTAGGAAGGGCTCAGAGACAGGGTCAAGTTGTGATTAATGCAGAGAGGCTCCTACAACAGCACAGGAGGCACCACAAAGCAGGAGCTGTGTGTCTGTGCCATCCTCCATGGCTGCAAGAATGTGCAAGATGGAAAAATTTATGGTTTTTTTGTGAGAAGCAAGGTTTTTCTTTCATCAAAAACAGCTCTTGTGGTCAGAAACTCAACCTTATTCTAGGAACAACTTTGGACACTTTCCGTATGCAATTGCTTCATTCTCTACTCCCAGCATGTCACTGGCAGTAACAGTGCAGCCACCTGTTCCAGGAGGGGATGAGTTCAAAGTCCCCCACTCTTTGCTCAGCTAGGGGTTTCAGACCCCTGTACCACCTCCAAGGCCAGGGCAGGATTACATCTCTGCCTTTGTCCCCAAGACGGGGATATCAGCCCTCTCCTCCTCCCAGGAGGACCTGCTTATAAAGCTGCTTTTCTGAAACGACCCTCCCTGAAATCTGGGGTCTGAGGCACTGCTTTCTTTATGGTTGATGAGCTTTATTCCCAGAGGTGTATTGCCACTTGTGTCCCAGAGCCCTCGCTGGCCGTGTCCCCAGCAGTGCTGCCCCTCTTACTGGTGGTGTTGTACCGCACGCCATAGAAGTACTCGGGGCAGGGCCGAGCCACCAGCTGTCCCACCGCACTCCGGGGCCAGCATGTGCCGATCAGGTCCACCGAGGCATTGCACTGGGGACCTGCAAGGACCAAGTGCACAGGGTTAGTAGAGGTCTGTGGGTCACCATGGACCACTTCCAGGCTGTTGAAAGGTCAGGATTTGCCTGGAGAGCTGGGGCTGCTGGATGAGCTGATGGCTAACCACAAGCTCAGCCCCCAGAAAACCCTCATGCCAGACATCAAATAGGGGCTATGCAAGATTTGCAAGGGCTGGTTGAATCATCATGGCCATGACTACTACTCTGGTCCTGTCTTTACTACTGGGGTAAGCCCAATTATGGCACAAACTTGACTCTAGACCTGACTTCCATGTCCACTTGGGGTTCCTCGGCTCTGGTTTCTCATCCCTGCTCCTTCCTTCAGCCGTGACTTTGGCATCTAGCCCTACAACAGGCAATAAGCCAGACTTGCTCTTCCTCAGTGGTGCATCCAGTGTAGTTCTAAGCCTCTCCAAATATCTCACACCTCCTGGCTGCAAAATTTCCTTCCCAGCCATTCCTGTTGGTCTCTTCCAGTCTTTCCTGGGTAGAAAACTCCAAAACTGCTGCTATTTCAGATTTCAAGGATTTGTGTGCTTTTCCCATCTACACAAGTGTGCTAACATAGGCATTAGGTAGGCCAGATTGCAGGCTCTTTTATGTATAATTTGTGTATATTTAGAACAACATGTACTGTAGCTAAATATGTCCTTGCTCCACCTCACAGTGAGGTTGGAAGCACAATGGCTGCAATATTCATATACTACAATCCAAGACAAGCAGAAAATGAGAGAGCAGGAGATGCTGGAAAGGGTAGAGTTCAGTCCAAACCACTCCTGGGTACCAGAGATGTTTGTGCTGTTGGCACAGAGACAGAAATTGCCATTACCTGAGACAAAACACCCCTATTCACAGCTCCTTGGGTGTGAGAACACAGCATTTTCTCTCTCCCTGGATTTGTGGTTGTTATTTGAATGCCTTTCCCAAAAATTCCTATGGATGGAGCTGGCTAAAGAGTGACTAAAGGAAAAAAAAGCAAAATACTGTTGATGATGATGATGATGATGATGAAGGTTTTTATGGAGGAATATTTCTTTTCATCAATTATCTGAAAAATTGTCTCCTTGTTATTTTGTGATGTTCTCAGAGAAAATTTTCAGGCCTTTCAGTGTCTTCAAATATCTTAGCAAGGGAAAACTGCTTCCAAGAATGTGAGCTAGGGAAGCATCAGAGCATGGTGAGTGTTACCTTCTGCCTCCCATATCTTGTAGGGGGAAATTAATTTTAACAATGACCTTTGCTTTTAGCTTCGCTAATGTGTAGGGTTGCTGTGGCAACCTTCCCTTTAAGTTAACTGTTTTAAGCCTGTATTTTGTAGGAAACAAGGTGCCTTTTATCACGTCTGTGCCTTTCTGCATCCATTTGAATTTATTGAGCTCTGTTGTTGTGACCCAAATTTGACAGAGAAATAGAGGGTCACGATTAAAATTTTTATGATAATAAAATGTACATTTATCCATGTAGAGAAAAAACAACCAGTAATTACTTGAACTAAGGAAAATGTTAAATTGCTAGTGCTCTCCCTGTTAGCCACTGAGGTGAGAAGCTGTGAATGTCTGGGAAGGAAAAAGCTTCACTTGGAACAATGCAACACAGGAAAATAGGGCTTGCACAGTACTGATGGCCATGGCAGCTCATGCAGCTATCACAACCCCTCCCAAGGTCTGGTAGGGCTGAGCACAAACTTCATTTTCTTTACATACCCTTTTGCCTCAGTTTCCCTCCTGCATTCCAGGGTCTGTTCTGGGGGATGGGCAAAGATTGTTCAGGGAGGACAAGCAGAAAGAGTGAGTAATTAAAAGTCAGCAGGGCCAGAGAGCAACAATGATGATACTCTCCACCAGTAAAACAAACCCACAGCAATGCCATTAATAACCAAACCCAAGAGAGACTCATGGAAATGATGTAGCCAGACAGAAGTGCATCATTCTGCTGTACGTCTGCTCAAGGCTGGATTTAATTTCTCCAAGGCACTTGGTGGGGTGGTGCTTGGCACTCCTGTTAGAGCAAGACAGGAACCCACCAAACCCAGTGGGTCCCACCAGTCCCACAACAAGGAAGGTGCACCAGCATCACCAGGACCTCAGCCCTCCTTGTCCCATGGGTCAGAGTGGTGCTGTGGGGTGACACTGGGGTCTGGGGCTGCAGTCAGATGAGGAGATGCTCATCCAGGCTGTCAGATGCTCCTGGACCTCTCCTTGTGCTTCATCCCCATGCTGCCACTGGCAGCATTTGGAGCTCTGTCCCACAGGTTTTCATCTAATGGGTGGCTGTAATATTTCCCCCAGGCTCACACTGAGAAAGGCTTGATGAAGAGAAGCTGCAGAAAGCAGATGCTGCTCTTTCTGCTCTCTCCAGCATACAGAAAAGAGAAAAAAAGCCCCTTCTGATAGGGAAATGATAAGTAAAACAGTGAGGACAGAGTGCCACAAGGACTGCAACATCCCCTTTACCCAGCAGAATGTTCTGCTCTGGCTCCCCCTGAGTGGTACCTGGCTCCCAGCATTTAGAACACTGTTTAGGATGGAGATGATATGTGTTCCATGCTTCCCTGCCTGCTTGGTGGCCCATCCGTGTTTGCAGGGAGCTGTTCTCCAGGTTCTGAACAAGAGTGCTCCAGCTTCTCAGCTCCATTGGCTGCACAGGTTTCGTCTTTGCAGATTTACAGTGAGAAAGGTCAGTGAATTTCCTACCAGCACTCAATCCCCCTAATTTGGCTTCTTCCCACACAGAAACACGGTGTTTGGAGGAGGAAGGAGCAGGCCCTACTTTGAGACAGGGAATGTGGCACAGGGGAAGTTGCTCCAATCCCTTCTCACCCTATTGCCTTTGGGTTGTGCTGCTCTGAAGCAATATAAAGCATTTACATTCCCCTGAAGAAAGAAGTGTTTGTCCAGGGACTTATACTGAGACAACTATGACAATAACTGTCTCAGGATAACTGTAACAATATCCCATCTGTTTCTAGAAAACATTCTTCTCCAGCCTGCTCCCATCACTCACAGAGGCCTCCAAGGTGTCTCTGAGCTAAAGCCATGTGACACCTGGCAGGGCAAAGCTCTCCACTCCCAGCTAATCTGCCAAAAGATTTTGAGCAAATTTAAAGAGGATTGAGCATGTTTATCCTGGACCAGCAGTACCAGATGCATGGCCACAGTGCTCTTGAGCTGGTGCCAGGAGGTCTGAAGTATTATCATACCATCAAGCCATTGCTGGGATGCTCTGAAGAGGAGTAAAGCAAAGGTTGTACTGATACAGCTGTGCTGGTAAACACATCCTGCTTTATATTGGGCAGAGCTGTGCACCAGCACAACATCCCAGTTTGCTGCTGTGCACAGACACAACTATGAAGGGTGGAAGGGTGAAGCCTCTCTCCCCTTCTGCAATGCAAAGAGGCCAGGAGAGATGATGGAAAGCTGAACTATAGGCTCATTCCCGTAGTTTTGGAATAATATATATAATATAAATAATCCCGTGATGGGGTTATTTATCTAAGGTGTCTCAAGAGCCTAATGGCTGAAAGCTTTTAACTCATATCACTACCTGTCCTGAACTCTTCTTCAACTATAGTTATCTCTATCCAGCCCAAATGTCCTCTGTGACCACATTGCTGCTGCTGCCTCGAGCCTCTGGCTCCCTGAGAGTGTCTCCTGTGTCTCTGCTGCAACATTCGCATTTGACAATCAGGACTTCATCTCCACATCTAATCAAAATACAACTACAACAAAAATATCACTGTGATATCTGATGCATCCACTGCAAAATTACACAAAAATCTCTTTGTCCCTCCCAGGCAGTTCCACCAGAGTGGTGAAGAAGAAAGACCCATTTCACACTTTATTGATCCAAAACAAGGGTCTTTGGGGTTGGCTTTTACTTCCAGGTGCTGAGGTACCAGGGAGGGGTGGCTGGCTTGAGCTGTGAAATCATTCAGATGTTAAATGCTTGAGTAGCACCTTGAGGCATTGAATAAAATGGCGCTGGGGGACAATTTATATTAACATCAGGTAGAAATTAGGGTGGTGGAGCTGTTTGCCTTCCCTCTGAGCAGGGGTCAGTGTTCAGGATGGGAGCAGCTGTGGCTGCCTCAAAGTAGATCCTTGCTTACACCCTACCTCCAGCACTGCTTTCAGTGGCATTGGGGGCTTCTATTTACCTTTGTAAGACTCCAGTCCTTAAAAAATCCTCAGCAGTCCTCCCAAGCATTCAAGTTCCATGATCCTCAATGTAAAATAATTACCCAGGCTAATTAAGCATTATGATAGCTATGGGTGTTTGTAATGAATTTTTGGCTTGTTGCTATTCATGGTCACTGACTATCCCCTCAGGTCTTTGCTGCTGCTCTGGAGAAGAATAAATAAAAGGCACCAAACCTAGCTTGTGCTGTTGGTATCTGGTGTATCTGCTCAATGTTGTCACTTAAGATGATCCATGTACAGCTTTACAGCATATATATGTATATATATATATGTATATAATGTATCAAATGTAGTGGGTTGTGTTTGGGGCTTATCTTGTTCTCCTGACATGAACCACAGAGTGTTTGGAGTTGTGTAATAACCAAGCATGGCAGGAAGTTGTTTATTCCCTAGGGTTGGCTGGGATTTGGTGGTACATGAATGAAGTATCAAAATCCCTCCTTGGCAGAGTTTTCCCAGTAGGGCCTTCTAGTTTGGCTACAACTGAACAGTCTCTGGCAGTGACTTCACTGCATCCAGTCCAAAGTACAGTTCAGCTGCTGTAACTGCTGCTCACGCTGGGATATGCCAGGACACAGTTTCCTACTGGAAAACCTTATTATCTTCCCTCCTCCACTACAATAAAATCTATGAATATCAGTGAATTGCTATTGACGTCTCTGTTTCTCAGATGATGGAGTAGAATGGCCTTATCGACACCAGCATATATTTAAACCTCTAGGATTGTCCATATAGATGAGAGTTTTGTTTCCCAAAACTGCCCAGTACCATGTCTCTCCCTCAAGTCCCTGCCTAGACTCATTGCTGCATCTTTAACCCTTGCTCAGTTCCTTTATTAATATTTCTGCCTTGGGAGAGATGCCAATGAGACTGAAGAGAGAAGAGTCACTGATGTTAATTTGACCTTTATGAATTTAATTTCCAGACTCATCCCAGGGGAGTCAGTGAGTGAATGAAAGAGCAGTGGCACGAGGGCTGCTGGAGCAGTGTCAGCACTTTGGAAGCTGAGCTGGAGTGGGTGGAAAGGCTCTTGGTCAAATTGTCACCTGCTGTGAAAGGTGTTACCAAACTTATCTGATAGTGCCTGTGAAGGATATGTTCTCATCACTCACTGCTTCTTAACCACATGAGTTTGCTGTATCTGGAACAATTAGATTTGCCTTAATTAATGCAAAGCTACACTCCCTTTCCCCCTTGAAAAAAACTTCAGTTAAAAACCCACAGATATTTTTTTCCCTCTGCTTAGCTTTGGTGCCATTTTTCTTTGCTTTAGGTGAACTGGCACTGACACAAAACATTTCTTTCCTGACAAGGAATTTTCTGTGTTCCTCTCTCTCTCTCCTGAGCACTCAGATTGTGATAACAAGCTCAAAGGAGTGGATTGTGCAGCCAGGACCAGAGGGGGATGTGAGAAATTGTATGGCAACTCCTTGGGATGATCCAGGAGCTATGAATGGCAAAACAGCCCCTTGAAAGTGCTCTGAGCTCGCTCTGTTCAAGTGCTTTCTGCTGAGCTGCTTTGGAAAAACATCATTATTAATTAGGAAGAGGCTTTCCCATCTTCTCAGATTCTCCCTTCCCTCTTCAGGGAAGCAGTCCTGCAGCTGCAGGGAATGATTTGTCCCAGTGGATGAAATGACCTTATCCCTCACTGTTGTGGTTTTAAAGCATTAGCTAAAATTCACTAGAAAACTTACTCATTTCTTGCTGTGAGATATGGATTAGGAGAAGGGCAAAACAGGCTTAAAACTTAAAAGGAATAAAGAAAGTTTATTAAGAAAACTACAAGAATAAGAAACCATAATAAAACCTCCAGAAACCATTTTTCCCCACATCCCATTCCTGTGTTTAATTGACAACATAGAGACAAAACCTGGTGGTTAAAACAGTCCCAACTTTGCTATAGTCTTTTCATCAGTCTTGGTAGAGAAAAAGAAGTTCTCTTTTGTCAATCTATGGAGAGTTTTTCACAAGAAAACCATTTTCTCATGGCTTCCAATTTCTCTGATGCCAGCTGCCCGGAAAACTCTGCCATCAGTCCTTTCCTCCCATTTCACACCACTCTGAGGTGTGTTCTTGGGCCATGATTTAAGGGGTGTCATTTTAAGGATGAGTTATTTGAAGGCAAAAGTTCTCTTCATCTGTCTTTGTGATCATCTCTGAAAACAGAAGTTTTCCCTTTGTCTCTTAAGGGCCACAAATCTTCAGCAACTCTCACTTCTCTTTTTCTGTTCCAGCATCTCATAGGATCACAACTACTTCACCATTTGCTCAGCTCTATCAATGAATTACCTTTGCTTAGATCCACACTTCGAAATACTCCATCTCCCCAAAAATAGTCTTTCATGAATTAAAGGAGTTTTTTCAGAACATTATTGTCCATCTCCATAGCTTTAACAAAAGAATGTTTCAGCTTAAGGCATCTCCTTATTTCTCTCCCCATCTGAAGCTTAATTCTTTTCTTCACTGTCTTTGATAGTTTATGTTGTCTCTTTACATGTTGATCCCTCTCTCTTCCCCTCTCTCTGGAAAAAGGATTAATCTGCAAGTCTCATCTGGGTAGTGAAAGGGTTAAAATCTGGCTCAAGCCACAGCTTCATGCTGTCAGGTTTCAGCTCAGTGGCGCTCAGAGCTGGGGACCCCCCTGGGAAAAGCTTCAGCCACCCCGGAGGCTTCCCGGGAGCTGCAGCAGAGCTCAGCCCGGCCTGGGCCCAGGAGAAGCCCCCGCAGGCCCCATCTCCCAGCCGGGAGCCACGGCAGGCCCAGCCCAGCCCCTGCCTGGGCTGCATGGCCTGGGCAGGGGACGGGGGCCCAGCTGGAGCTCTGTTACCTTTCACAGCCAGAAACCAAAAACAGAGAGAAATTCCTGGGCTTAGGTTTTAAAGGGTGTTGTTCACAGGTTGATCTCACTTTTCAATGGTCAAAACTACTGTCAGTTCTCAGAAATGGCCAGTTATTGGCCAGGAGAAAAAACTCTGATCAGCCTCAAGCAGCCTTAACTTCCTTAGATGTTTCCTACTTTTTTCTTAAATGCCAATCTGTCACACTCCCAGATGGACTTTGTGACAGGGCGAGAAGCAGCTGCACACAGACCCCAGGGAACTGAAATCATGAGCCAGAGAAATCCATAGTCTGAGTCAGTCCATGGGCTGGGAGCCCTGGGGACAGCACCTATTCACCCCAGACAAGGGATGCTGATCCTCATTGTGTTCCTTTTGAAGCCTAATCTGAGACTTTCATGACTTGCAGATGTTTAGGGGGGCAGCTGACCTGACTTCCTGAATCCACCATGTTGACCTCAAGTCCAGTCTGATATTCCTTCTTCATTGCTACTGTGGGAGGCAGCTTTCTGATGGAGCATCCAGCTGTGCCCCTGTGTCCCAGACCCAGCCAAAATCAGGGGTTGACAGACCGGAATTTTTGATGGATACCTAAACTATCAACTTGGAGCATGACAACAAGCCTGAATTCCCAGGGATATTAGCCCTGCATTGGGGGCTTGAAGGAAGATGGGTGAAACCATGGTGATAGGAGGGCAGGACAGGAAGAGTTCTGTGAGGCCCAGGTGCTCTGTGTCCTGGGATAAGAGTTTGCACAACCTGCACCTTCTGAGCCTGGACAGCATCACCCCAGTGTGCCTCCACCCTCTATCCCACTGCTGTGGCACAGACTCTTCAGCTCAATGCGTATGTCTAGAGAGTGCTGACACTCTGCTGACATCACTGTCCAGACAGACATCCTCCTTAAAACCAAGAGATTTAAGGGACTGGTGAGCCAGGAGAGCCCATGCTGGGCTGTGTTTCAGAGGAGGGATGCTGCACACAGGCACGAGGCAGTGCCTGTCCATGCATCCAGCAGATCCCCTGCCAAGCCACATGATGGGGGACCACTGGGCTCGTGTTATCAGCATGTGTCATTTCCCAAGGGTTGTGAAGACATTAACAAATTAAGTCTCAGGGCCCTGCTGAAATTCTCATTAGCATCATCCTAACAACTCTTCATGTTAAACAGCTCAAATCATAATTTCCAGTTTAGTAAATATCCCTCCATAGGAATTGCTGTCTCCATCAGTCAGGGCCTAAATGGACCCCAAGGACCAGGACTGGTGCTGAACTCCACTTCCCAAGCAGACATAAGACAATTAGCTTCACCTCTACCTCTTGTTCTAAGTCCCCTCCTCCAGCTAGAAGTGGCTCTCACATGTGCCAGCCCCTTCCAAATTAATGAGTTGCGCAGGAATTGCAGGTTGGATGTGTTGAGACAATGGACAATTTGCAAATCTGAAGCCTCACATTCTCCCCTCTGTCCTGGAGATGGACACTGAGGTGCACTAAATCCTGCTTGGAATCATGCTGATAAATCCCCACTGAGCAAAACCCAGTCCTTGCAGAAAGCAGTGCTCAGTGCTTGAGGATGATGGTGGTTCCAGGGCAATCCATCAGCAAACCACAGCAGAAAATCTCCCTGCTTTCTGACCTTTCCCTGGGGCTTGGGAGGTTCCAGTAGCGGGTGGAAAAGGCCACAATCTGGGCATGAGGATTCTCTGGGACCTGCTTGCTGCCCTGGATCAGGATTTATTACAGCTTAACATGGCCAAGGGCAGGCCCTCACTGAGCAGAGTGATGAAACCTTCAGGGAGCTAAGCACATGAGTGATAACTGTGTTTCTTCACTGGCCAGACATCCAGACATTGCCATTCCACAGGCTTTCTGCCTCCACCTTGTGGGCTTGGGAAGCTTCTTGCAGGGCAAGGTAGTCTGGGTTTGGCCAGACACCGGATCAGCCGGTGCCAAGATGGGATTTGTTAAAAAGGAGCTGTTAATGCTGCTTTTAATGGGTGGTGGGCAGCCATCCCTCAGCTCTTGGTCTCCATGGCCATTCCTCAGTGCCCAGTCCTGTGGCCAGCCATCACCCTGATGGAGAGTTCTTTGGTGCCCTGTCTGATTCTCATTCAGTCATGGAAAATCAACACTGCAGCATCCTAGAGCTGGGGAGGACTTTTCTCCTTGTCCTTGTGAGCTACACTCCTTCTCACACTTCTCCTCCCTCAAAACCTGTCACTGAACCAGACCTGTCTGAGGTGACAACCAAGTCACATCCTGAATATAGGCTAAAAGCCAATTTTGGCACAAGCTCTGACCTGATTGGATCAAACCCATGTACAGTGTTGATTAGGAGTGAGCTGTTCATGACCGTGATGCTCCCACCCATCAAGGCTGAGCCAGCCCTGGCCCTAGCGATGTCCCTAGAAGCTCTTCATGGCTGGTGGCCTCCCAAAGAGCTCAATGGCATCTGTGTAGCAGTGCTGGGGGGTGAAGGGTGGTTGAGCCTGGAGCCACGGTGGCCACACTACACTGGTGACGTGGTCTCCACAAAAAGTCAAAACCTCCAATCATCATCCCTGGGCAGGGGATGGTAGAGAGGGGTGGACATAGGGGCCAAAGTCCTGGTGTCTCTGGGCTTGGCACAGAAGAGGCAGCCAGCCCTGATGTCTCTTTGTCCATCTCCCCCTCTGTCCAATAGACATTTATTTTCTCTATTTTCATCTCCTGAGATCTGCACCTTCTACCTTCCTCCACTGTCACCCTTCAAGGAGGCTGCAGCAGGCGAGCCTAGAGACACCCCTGACACCCTCTACCAAGCACTGGATCCCCAGGGGGTGGCTTGAGTGGGCTGGGGACACTCACCAGTGTGGTTGGTGACAGGTGGCAGGCTCTCACAGTACTGCTCCTGGATAGAGGCTGCAACCTGGCTGTCCCAGAGGAGAAATGCCTGCATGGGGAGAGAGCAGACAGGGGTTGGGGTTATATGTACAATATGCTGCTTCCCCATCCCCAAATGCCTCCTTGGGTCAGATCTGAGTTTGCCCATGTCTGGGTGGGTACCACCTGCAAAGCTGCACAATGGACATGTACCATTTTCAAGATGGTTTCCTAGGGAAACTGCTTATCCAGACCCAAGGCTGCGGGACTGCTCTGTTTCCCACCCAGTGATCCTGTCCTGCCCCAAATACCCCACTCAGCAAACCCTCCTGCAACGCCTACTGAATCATGGAACCTCTGCTATTTAGCATTTTATTCAACACTTTTGGGTTTAGCATCTTTCAGTCTTGAGAGCAGACAGGGGAAACATGATGAGCCTGACACCACACTTGGATTTTCAATCCCTTACTGAAATCACAGCCTTGTAAGCTGTCAGTGGGAAGATGTTCATACACATCCTTAAGGATATCTGATCCACAGACAACCATCTCTGGCTGAAGTCTTTTTTTCAGAATTGTCAGCAGACACCAGCATTCCCATTGAGTCAGAAGGCACCAACCATGATCTACCCAGCTCTGCTAAAACTCTGCACAAGGAGCTATTTTGGAAAAATGATTATTGAATTATTGTGTCTTTGCAGGAGTTTGGGGAAACTAAATATGAGAAAGGCAGTTGCCAGGATGAAGGGATTGCAAGGATGGCAGAGGGATGGTGCTGTTGGTCTCACAGCTCACCAGGGTGCTAGAGGAGGACCTGATATTTTGCAGAGCACAGATTTTTACACAAGCAGCTGTCCACTCTGTCCTCCAGCTCAGAGAAGAGTGATGCAGGCTCATCCCCTTTGCTCTACCAGCACTAATGGTGGATGAGGCTCAACTCCACTTCTTTCATATCAAACGACTGACCAAACCCCGTGGAGAAAAGTCACTGATTAAATGACAGAGCTGTGCCCCAAAATACATCACATACAGATCCCTTGGGAAACAGCCCCGAGCCTGAAAGCAGAAAGGGCTGCAGCTCCGCTGCTTGCAGGCATACTCCCAGCTCCTTGGGGAAAACAACCTCCCCATCAGCCAGGCTGCTTCCTAGTGCCTGACCCTTCCTGAGTGCCATTTACCTCCCAAACTGCTCTGAATGGAGCCATAGAAACACTGTCTGCTCTTGCTGGCACGCTCAGCCATCCTCATGCCTTACCAAGGCATTTGTAGGATTTATTCAGACACAGAGACAAGTTCAGCACCCACTTACTCTTTTCCAATCAACTGTTTACTGCCTTAGGAAGCTGGATTTGACAGCAAAAGAGATGTCAGGCAGACATATAAATGGAGCTGAGAATAGCTCCCTTGTTGTGACTGCTCCAGATGGCACAGGGGATCCAGCAGCTCAACCCTGCCCTGGCATGGGAGCTGCTAGGAGCTCCTGAGTGCTGGTCCTGCAGGACCCCAGCACCTCCTGAGTTTCCTTTCAGAAAGCTGAGATTACCCAAACTCCAGACAGGGAGGAATCAAGGTGCAGCGAGTTTGCTTCCCTCTGTGTTGATGCCCACAGCTGGTGCCCACTGCACCTGTTGGTGAGTGGCATGGGCAGCTGGGACAGAAGAGTTCTGCTCAAAAGATGTCTGAGATGGTTTGTCTACCTGAACAGGCTTCCAAGTGTTAATTGGATGTGTTTCTCCTAATGGCAGCCTGCTCCAGCCTGGCAGTGCCCATTCTCCTTCCAGACACAGGGAGAGGTCTTGGCGCTGAGCAGCACACAGACCAAGCCACAGCCAGAGAGGGGTGTGGATGGAGCAGTCACTGCTCTTTGCAGGCTTTGTAAATGAGCTGAAACAGCTACAGAAGGAAGAAAGAAAGGAAATAAAGGATCCCCAAAACAGAACTAAGAGCTTTTTTACCAGGCTATGAGTCTTGTCAGAGACTTTGGCAGTGTGGCCAAAGCTCTTGACAGAGGCAGAGGTTTTGTCCCACTCTTGTCAGCATTTTGAAGGGAATAAGCAGGGCTGGTGGCAGCTGCAGGGGGATTTGCCCCAGTGAAAAAAATAAATTCTTATCTGGCACTTGCTGGTTGCTGCCTTATCTGTTTTGCTCTTTGTGGGTTAGTGCAACCCCTCCCCACACTTTTACAGAGAGAACAGGTCAAATCTCCCTCCTTGAAGAGCTTCTTGTGCCAGAGCATCACTACTCTGTAAGATGCCACATGGTGTCCAGCAGGGCCCAGCCTGGCCAGGCTGGAGCCAAGCTCACCTCAAGAGCCCCGACACTGCAGTGGGTCATGCTCAGGCCAGAAAGGGGCTGTGTTCCTCCGCCCTGGCCTTGCCTTCACACAGCTATGGCAGATCTTGCTCTGCAGGCAGGAACACTTCTGTGACCTTTTTCAGCCTGCCAAAATCCTGGAGAGCCTCAGCTGAGCCCTCAGCTGTCCATGAAGGAAGGCAATCTGCTCCTCTGGAAGCAGTCACTTTGCAGAGAGCTCCCAGTTAGCCCAGGGAGCTGCTCCCACAGGGATGGATGATTGTTGTGCTGGGAGCTTCATGGGCCCTGTGAGGGCCTGCACTGGTAGCAGCTTCTTCTCCATCAAAAGCCAGCATTGTCTCCCCTGCTGTTGCCGCAGCATCTTCCCAGCTCCCTTCCAGGCTCTGTAACATCCCTCTTTTATACACATGGATGGTTCTGGTTTAACCTTGGACCTCATGGAGCACCAGCTCCTTCCTTTCATCCTCACATTCTCTATAGCAGGACCAGCCCCCACCCAGTCCTCACTGCACAGGTCAGACACCAAAACCTGACACTGCTCCCGTGTTTCCTACATCCCACACACAGCAAACATCTGCTGTGCTTGGCATCCCACCACCCACCATGCCAGGGCTGTTTCAGAGGGGAAACTGAGGCACTGAGGACCACTTGCCTCAGGTCACTCAGGCTGTGGGGCACTGTGTGGGGCAGATCTCTCCAATCTGGACACACCAACCATGTCCTGGTGCCACCAGGGCTCCAAGAAATCAAAAAAAACAGCTCTTCCTGTGCCTGTGAGGGGACAGGGTGGCAGGTCTCCTGGTCCAGGAGATGTAGCACAGTGGACTAGGACAGTGTCAGCTCATCAGCACTGGGAGTCTGGCTGCTGCTGTGGGGCTGAGCAACACAACCACATATGGTGTCATGTCTCTGTGACCTGCCACTGACCTGGCAGAAAAATTCCATTAATAACAATTAGGAATTGTGGTCCCTTGTGGTGCTTTCACTCTCCAAAGCAATCCACGGATACTAATTAATACATTCACATCCAACTGCAGCATCACCCCCTGCACTGTGCTTCCAGAGACAAATATCTGTCCCCCCCTGCGATAATGTCTCAAAAAAGAGGGGATCTGCAGGGCAGGAAGGGCTGACAGCTTTGAGCACGACATAGATGGCTTGTAGCCTAATTAGCAATCTAGGAGGTCCAATGCTGAGGGGCTGTAATTGGAGAGCAGAGCAACTAGTGGGATTGAAGCCTGGGATTGAAGCCATGGGAGACAGGGGTTTTGCATAGAGCTGGGGAGGGCAGTGGGAGCAGTGGACAGTGATGGCCACCATAACCTTCCTGGGAGGAGGAACAACACCAGCCACTCGAGTCGTCCGTGCTGTAAGGGCCTCTCTGACCCATCATCTCTGCTCCCTGGCTTGGCTGGGCTTGCTGCCCACTACAACACTTGCTGTGGAAGAGGAAAGACCTCCTGGAACATAGGACCAGCAGGGAAGGGCTGAGCAGTTCCTGCTCTGGACCTTTCCTGAGGTTCCCTGGGGCATTAGGTGGGATGGAGCCTGTTCTTGACTCTGAGCCTGCAGCAATAGGTGCCAGACTTTGTGTGTTAAATACAGTGACTATTAGAAGAGCTGGATGCCAAATTCAGACGGCAAAGCAGCATCAGTGGTGTAGGAAAGGAGCAGCACATCCTGCCAGGACTGCAGCTGGAGGTGGCCTGCAACAGCCTGACTGAAAGAGATGAGCCTCAAATGTGCTTGGAGGTGCCTCCAAATCCCCATGTCTCCTGCCTTCACTGACAGAAGGAAGTGTCTCCTCTTTGCCTTTGTCTCCTCTGACTTCCAGGCACTGTTTTCTGCAGCTGGGGAGCTTCTTACCTGCTCCACTTTGAGGGCTTTTGCTTGGAACAGTTTCATCCTCAACTGAATCCACAAAAGAAACCCCCAGGCAGCATCTGGTCCATGAAGAACCCTCTTTACACCTCTGTCTTAAGTAACCTGCTTTGCCACCCATGATCTCAGGGTTCCTCTGAGTCCCTTCTCTGCCCTACCAAGCCCCTGTTGCTCCTTCATTGCTTTTCCAAAACCCCATACCAAACCCTGCCAGCATCGAGGCATCAAGGCAAAGCTCAGGCAATGGAACAAGGCTCAAAGCAAGACACATGGGGGGATTTTCCATGGCTGATGTTACTCAGGGGGAGAGCAGGCAGTGAGAACATCTCCATCTGGCATTACAATCTGCGAGTTTATTAATTTATCTGTATTAGAGGGCCAGTCCCTGTGGTGTGTAGACAGGAGCTTCGGTGAGAGTGTTTATTCTGTTTGGAGTCTCTCTCCGAGTGTGCTGGATGCAGATCCTAACAAAAGAATATCAATCAGGGCTAAATGAATAATACCCTGTAAAAACTGATATATGGGCAATTAAAGGTTTTCCTGGATTAAGCTCTGGTATCCCTTGCTTTCCATAAATAATTATGACTTCATTTATCTGTCAAGAGAGACATGGATTTTTGGGGACAGGTGAAAAAATGACAAAAGGCATTTGGGTGTTGGAAGCTAAAGGCATAAACAATCTGGGGAAGAGGACACAATCCATGCAGCTCCTATGGGATCTGGATTTTCAGGGGCAAAGGCTGCTGAGGAAGATTGGAGTGATGGACACAAGTCTGGGGGAGGGCTGTTTTTCTAAGGCAATTTTATTAAACTCTCCTTCAGAGACATTTCAATTTGGGTTTGGACATTTTTCCCTTCAGCTCTGTCCCAAAACCCACATCTTGACTGTTCAAAACCCACATCTTAACTGTTCCAAACCCCCTTCTTCACCCATCATCTTTTTAGGGTTGTGCCCTGGGATGAACATCCACAATTTAATTTCCGCATAATTTTTTTTCCTGTTTATTGACATTCACAGCTCAGAAAAGCTTGGCCACACCAAAGCTGCATCTGCCTCTGCTTTTCCAGGGTGGATAAGGCAGATTTCAGGGTGGAAAAGGGACTGTAATCTGCAAAATGCCAACCCACTTTGCCACTGGCCATTGGAATGGAGGCAACTGCTCCTGGGAGGGTGACTGTGGATAAAGCAGAGAAGGAGGGTCTCTTCTATCAGCTCAGAATACAGTTAGGGAAAAAAGGAAAAACAACAGATGGCCCTGGGTATGTTATTCCATCTTCAGAAAGAGCCACCCTCTCCTGAGTGACAGCTCTGATGTGTTGGACAATGGCTCCTGGGCTCTGTTTGGTGAGGGAACCCCATGGTTTGGGGGTTGATTTGTGTTTTCTTTGGGTTCTAAAATTGTTCTCACAGACAAAGCCATGTATGCAGCCTTTCTAAACACTGCAGACTCAATTGCAGCTTGAGCTTGTCACTCACAACTAACTTCTAGGCTAACCCTGTGCAGGATTTTGGGTAAGCAGAGCTGGATTTTAGGGCAGGGTTGAGCTGGTGGTGCAGGATATTCTCATTGTATTCCTATATATTCATCCTATCGTGACAGAGCAGCTTTTCTGGGAACAGGCTGTGCCTTCTCCATTCACTTCTTTGCTGGAGATGTGAAACCACAGGGATGACTTCATACACACTGAATCAACTCCAGAATTTAAGGAAAGTGAGGACTGGAAGAGATCCCCAGGGTCAGCATGTCCTGAAACTGCAGCTCTGCATCTTATGCAAGGATTGGAGCATGGAAGGGGCAGGGGCTGATTTTTTGGGCTTATTGCTGCTGGAGTTGGTCAAGTGAGAGGAGAGGGGAAGCTATCCCACCCTCAGCATCAATCTGATTTTTCATAAAATGCTTTTGCAGTTTTACCAGCCCCAGAAATGTCATCAGCTCCTGACAGAGCTGCATGTGGGCTGGTTTAGTTTGTTTAAATGACTTGCAGGGTGCCAGGGAGCACTTGGCAGCAAGTTTTCCTGCCTGTCTCCTAGTCTCTCTGTCCGACCCCATGAGGGATGTATATCCAGTAAAGCAACATGGGTAAACCAATGCTAAAGTGGAAGTGCTAGCCAGGTGCATGGGGAACACCTAAACTGTGCCAACACACAGTATCTGCAGGGGAGGTTTGTCTGTGCTGAGCTCTGTGTTGGAGCTGGGCTGCTGCTGGTCTCTGCACTCACAGGCTGGATGCTGCTGCAGGTACACCTGGCTGCAGGGATGCACTCACAGCTGGAGTTTCATGGTCCTTTAGCCCATGCTGTCCCCAGGAAAGGGTTGGGACTGTTCTGGAAGAGCAGCCGAGTTTTGAATGCATGTATTTATCAGGAAAGATAGACAGCTTGACTGCAAAGGAGGGTAGGGTTGTAGATTGGCTGATTCTCTTTGGAGCCAACTGGGAGAGGCCTGGACTGGTTTTCGTGACCCCCCTCCCAGTCCCAGCCCCAGCACAGGGGTGATTTTGTCACAAATGCTGGAAGATTTTTAAGGACTTGTTGCTCCAGCTTCACAAGGAGAATGTCCTTGGGGAACACCTGGGGATGGTGAGGGACTCCCCCAAGCCCAAGGAGCTTTGACAGAGCCTGGGAGCTGTGTCTCAGCAACTTTGGGCTTCTTTTGGACAACTTTTTGCTCACCGAGGTTATCAGGAGCTGTCAGCTCACATGGCTGGCTCTGCCAGAACATGACCTTACTGCACTGGGTCTGTGCTGTCCCCACAGACTGGCCAAGAAGGATCTGGGCAGGGGGAAGAGATCCTGCCCTGTCTCACCTTTATTCCTTACATCAGAGCCAAACAAAACCCGAACCAGGGAATGTAACAGCAAAAGAGCTCCCATAAATCCTATCAATCAGGCTTAGTGGGTTGCAGCGATAGGAGAGAGCAGCTGCTCAGAAGAGGAGCTTTTAGAAGCAACACCAGCTTGGGGGGGGTGGGGGGGTGTGTCTCCTGGTGCACATCAGCTCTTCTCATCACTTAGGTGAGAACTTTCCTGGCCCAGAGGTGCAGCTGATGCGTGAGGTGCACAGCCTGTGGGGTACGAGGCTCTCCCTCCACTTTACCTGATGTTTTAACTCTGCAGTCCCAGCTGGAGCACTGAGACACCATTTTGCAGCCAGCAAGGCAGATTTGCTCTTTTACCCCTCCTTGACACCAAGGTTTTATTGAAAAACTGATCATGAAAAACTGCCACTACAGACTTGTTCAAATAGAATTCAAAATTTCACTGGAAACCTCATCATCTCGTTTGTCTAGGGTTTGGGATTTAAACAAGCTTTGGGCTGTGAATGTTCCCCTCCTCGATGAGCCCTCAAGGAGGAGAAATATTGCTTCTGACAAAGCATTTGCATATTGTGCAGAGCTGCAAAATTAGCAGTGGCTACAGTTCCACAGCAAGCAAATTACAAAAAGTCGTGTGCTTTGCAGGTGCAGGAGGGAAAAAGGAGAGGCTTCCTTAGAAAATTAATTATGGGAGGGGGTGGGTACTATTGGGCTCTGCATTTGCACTGTCCACATCCATCACATCCCCAGAGTGGCCACCCCCTCCCAACAGCCTGGGAAACTGGTGGCAGCTGGTTTCACTGGGAGATGCAAGGATGGGAATTGCTGGGTGTAGCTACAGCTGGGAGCTCTGGGCTGAGCTCAGGAGGACCTGGCTGCAATTCCCCCCCCCCCACCCCCCCCCTTTAAATGATCCTTTCACTCACTTCAGCCCCGCTCTCGGATAGTTTTTGAGCATCACAAGCTCTTGCCAAGCCCCAGTGCCTCGACTGGAAGAATTCTCCCGAGGGCCCTTTGTGTTGCGGTTTCTCTTTTTACTTTTCCCTTCAAAGAAACAGAAAAGTCACGGCGGAGAACGCGGGCTGTGCAGGGCGCAGGGGTGAGGGGAGGGGGCAGAAGGACTCTTATGGGAGAAGAGGACTTGAAGTATCTTACCTGCAGGAGGAGGAGGAGGGCAGGACGTAGGTTGGGCACCATCCTCAGCTGCCCCTGCGCCCAGCTCCCCGGGGCATGACTGGCAACGTCCCCGCTCCTGCTGGGCTGCTTCTGCCGTCGGGGAGAGAATCCTCCGGGCTTCCAGCGAAGGAGCCTGGCGGGTCCCCGCGGGGCTGCGCGGAGGCTGCGGGTCCTTCTGCGTCCCCGTCTTGCCTTTTATAACCTCCCTGGAGCCAGTCCTCCGGCTGCCCACCTTCCAGCTCGCCTGGCGATGGGCTACATCCCTCCTCACCAGCCTCCCACTCCCCCTTCTCTCCCTCCTCCTCTCCCTCCTCCCCTTTTCCTTCCTCCACCTCCCTGGTGCCTTCCAACTGAAATTGATTCCCCCCCCCCGCTTCTCCTTCCCTCCCTCAGCATCTTCAGCAGCAGAAACTTCCCACCAGCCCAGGGACCGCCCTCCCGGCTCTCCTTGGAGTGGGGCTTCTCCTCTCCACCCCTCTCACTCCCATCGTGCAGATGCTGTAGGGTCTCTCCTACGAAGCCTGGGGGTTTCTCTTGTGTCTGCAAAGGGTTTGGGGCTGCAATTTGCCGGGGATGAGGGGGTGAGTGGGTGTTACGCATTTCGGAATTTCACTCCAGGGCTCTGGCAGAGGAACTGGGACAAGGCGAGGTTCCCCCGCCAGCCTTTGCAGCCCCTTTGCAAAATGGAACACGAAGGGAAGGCAGAACCCTTTTTCTCTTCCACAGGGATGCGGTGGAAGGGATTTCAGCCCTGCCTTGTCAGGGAGATGTTCCTGAGGAAAGGATGGGGATGTGGGGCAGGTGGGTGCGGGGGTGTTTGATCATAAGGGCGGTCCCGGAGGATGGGGAGGTGCTGCTGGCACCGTGCTTTGTCCCGTAGGATGGGTGCTGGGACGGGCAGAGGTGATGAGGCAGGAGCAGGGGGGGATAAGGGAGAGGATAAGTGTCCTGGGAAGCGTGGGGCACAGTGGTGTGGGAGAGCCTGGATGATGCTCCTGAGGTCTTGGATAACGACATTTCCCTTCTCCCCCAGCATAACCCTCAAGCTTTAAAGGGTCTCCTGTCATACCTCTGTGTCTCAGCTCCTGCTGTCCACTGGTCTCCTGGGGAGGGATCCCATACACCCCTTTCTTAGGGATGCCATTGTCAGGATTGGGTCTATCCCTGAGTTGGATGAATTTCTGTCTGGGTTAAACCTGCTCCCCCACGCCAGTGCAGTTTCAATTCTTGCCTTCTGTACTCACTGAGGTTTAGGGGGCTGCCCCAGCTGTGGGTGCTGTGCCTGTCCTGGAAGTGAGCCAAGCTCCATCAGCCCAAGGTGAGCTGGAGGAGACAGCCAGGCAATACATTGTGCTTCCTTCTTTCCTTGAGGAAATAAGGATCAATGAGGTGTACTGCTGGGAGGGGGATGCTGGTAAACATTGCCATGGGACCACCATCCAGGGGTGTGATATTTCCCTTAGCTGATGATGGTTCATCCACCACCAGCTTCTCACAGGGTGCTGGATCATGCAGCCTCTGCCTCTAGGAATGGCTGCAGACCACAGCGGGTTGCAGATGATCAATAGGAGGGCAGTGTCCCTTGATGAATTCATGGCCACAGCCTCCATCCATCTTCACTGAGCTGTGCTTTGTCTCTGGAGTACCCAAGAGGGCAGGAGGGGATCAAGGTCTTTCCTGAGCTGTGGGACCAAGGCACAAGGACTGGCCAGGGCTGTGTCCCAGCATGTGGGGGCACCCAATGAACCATCCCAGCCCAGTAATTAAAGGAAATAAACAACAAAGACATAAATCTTCTGGCATTAGCTGGGTTTAATCAATTGTGATACTGCTTTGGCAAAGAAATCTGAAAATATATAAAGCTCTGGTAAATTCAGGAAATTTTTTGTTTCTGAGGTCTCTTAACATCCCTCCCCTGACAAGGATGGGATGAGACAGACTCCAGAGCCCTCGTGTTACCTGTCACTTCAATAAGCCCATGGAAAATGCAAAATTTTCTAAAAATGGCTTGAGAAAGCTCCCAATAACTTTAAGCATCCTGGATTCAGCTGAATGCATCACAGGATCATGGAATGGTTTGAGTTGGAAGATCATGTAGTTCCAACCCCCTGCCATGGGATACCTTCTACCATCGCAGGTCTAGGGTACAGCTCCTGGTCACAAAACGCACTCTGGTTTTGGGGGCTGCTCAGGGCTTTGTGCACACAGGGGACAGAAGGGACCTTGCAATGGCAAGCACCAGAGACCTCATTCCCACACCAAGACCAAGGATTGCCTTTCACCATCTCAGCCTTCCCATGGCCACCAAATGGGACATGTAGGATGGCCATGCTCTGCTCAGGTGCCCTGTATGAAGTAATGCAGGGAAGGCAGAAGTGAACACTAACTATTTTTAGTTAAGGAATTGGTTGCAAGGGACATAGGGATAATTCCTTCCCCATATATCAGGGAAAAAGCTGCAGTACTGTTTGAAGCACCTAATTGAGGGGATTTATTGTAAAATGCAACTTCTCAGATGTGGCAAAGGAGAAATAAAACATTCCCTGAGGCACAGAAATCAGTCCATTCATCATGGTTAATCTCAAACTCTTCGGTGCGGTGCAGAGACAAACGTGGGAGATGGGTATTAGGTATGGAAACAATGAAGAGAAATATCAGATCTCCAGGAAGGAGGGAGAGGAGAAGTTTAGTCTGATTTATCTGCCTTTGGTAAATTATTATTATTATTTTATGTAAATGCATGTGGTTTGATGGTCCTGTGTCTGAGCAGCTCCATGACAGCTGCACTACAAGGCTGTTTGTGGGACTTACACCTCTGCCCTGCTCCTACCCTGTCCCTGCAGCCAACCCTCTTCTGGTCTGGGAAAACTCCATGTGTCCCTCCTGCACTATAGGGATGATACTGAGACTAGTCCATATGCTGAAAGGGTGCAAGGAAATATGTCCCTGCTTCCCACATGGGGCATTGGTGGCAGGGCTTTGTTTCCAGCTGGGACATCTGTGGGAAAAAAAATTCTCAGTGTCCTGTACATTTAGGTCAGGTTGGTGGAAAGGTGGAGTTTGGCTTCTCAGCTGAAATCCCAGCTGAGATCAGCAGTGTGTCTTGACTTCCCCACCTGTGTTTCTTTCCCAGAAGGTCAAGTGGAGCTGGGAATGCTCAGGGCGCTGCATGGGGGAGGACAGGCTGTCAGCACATGGGGCTGAGTTAGCAACTGCAGGCTGAGAAAAAATCCAACCCAACACGTTATGTTTCTCCCAAGAGACTTGTTTTTTGCCCTGCTTTTAAAATTAATTTCCAAGTTTTTCTGTTCTGTGTCCTTTTCCCTCCTCTTAGACCTGCAGTGAGGGAAACACACTCCCAAACTCCACCTGGCAAAAGAAAGTGGCTGCTGGGACCAAGTTTCCCTCATTCCCGGTCACCACATAGTGTAATCATGCCTCAAATCTGGATATCCCTGTTGTGTTTGACCACCTGCTTCACCCCTGCAAGTCTCACAGCTGCTCTGAGACAAAGAGCAGGAAAGCTGAAGCCACAGGCCCGCTGAAAACATTGCACGGAAGGAAACCAAAGATTGTTACCAACCTCATTTAGTGAGTATTACCTTAGAGCTGGGCTGGCAGATTTTCTTGAAGGCCTTGAAAAATGCTTGGGTGGCCTCTGGACACTTCAGACCCCTGTTCATCCCATCAAACTCTGCTGGAGATGCAGAAGTTGTCCATACAGGAAGACAAACCAGCGTCCTTCTGGGAGAAGGAAAACTCTGACACATGGAGCTGGGTTTACTCTGACTCATTGTTCCATGCAGCAAGTGACTGATTCCTTCATTTACATGGATAATTCCCTCCTTCCGTTTCTTCTTCCCACACTGTGTGCATTGATAGGAGATCCCACATTAACAAAAACATGGCAACTGCAAACTAAAACAAGCAAACTCAAGGAAGCCCACAAAGATCTGGGATCTAACTGAATTTCTCATTTGCTTCTCAAGTATCTCAAAAGTGCTTGCCATGTTTTTCAAATTGCTTTTGGGAGAAAGTGTCAATTTTGAATAGAAAATAAACACAAAAGCTTTTGTTTTACGGCTAATTAAACCTCAAGGCAGAATGCTAAACTGATCATAATAAAAGTAATAATTATTATTTTTCTCATTCAAAGCTAAGTCAACTGAAATTTCCCAATCAGCAGTTGGCATTTCCCATCAAACAGATCACAGTGGTTTGTGGTTGGGAAAAACACCATGGTTTTATTCTGGAAACTGATCCCATCAATGCATGAGCCGAAAGTGGCTCTGTCTTCACACAATGTGGGACAGAGATGCACAGCCCTGTCAGCTTTGAGCCTCTTTGTGGCTGTGTCTGTTTGGCAGCACAGGGACCCATCACTGGATTCTGCTGCATTGGCTGTGTTGTTGTTGCCCAGATGTACAAGAGTTCCACAGATGTATGTGTATGTACAGAATCTCTTGCATGGATCATGGAATCATAAGATTGGAAAAGCCCTCCCAGACCATTGACTCCAACCGCTGCCCCATCCCCACCTTGTTACCAAGTCCAGAGCACTGATGCCATGTCCTGGTGTTCCTTGGACACCTCCTGGGATAGGGACTCCAAACCCCACTGGGCAGCCCCTTGCAATGCTTAATAGCTCTATCCATGAGGAAATTCCTCCTGATGTCCAATGTGAACCTCCCCTGGCAGAGCTTGAGGCCATTTCCTCTTATCCTGTCCCTTGTTCCCTAGGACAAGAGCCTGACTCCCCTGGCTGCCCCCTCCTGTTGGAGTTGTGGAGAGCCAGAAGGTTCCCCTTGAACCTCCTTTTCTCTAGGCTGAGCCGTCTCTCTGTCCCCCAGAGGAATGGACATATCCAGAGTGTTGCACTCACACCTTTGGGCATAACTCCACAGTGTCATGGACATGGATACATCATGGCTGGTGGAAATGTCCTGCAGAGATTGTGGCAGGGATTGTGATATCCTCAGATATATCTCATGGTAAAAATGCCTCCCCACTCCTCAGGTGTG